TATCCTTCCATCTACGCCTTTGTCTTCCGAATTTGATATCTCCTTCAGACTTTATGTGTGTTGTGTATTTCGTCCATGCGTGCTACATGTCCAGCCCAGCTTTTCTGATATCCCTTCCGGGTATGGAACTTAGAATACCATTCCGGAGCTAGTCACAGTCCATTTTGACTGAGAGTCGAATTTGTGCCCCAAAGTTTAAATCGTAATTAATATGAATTTGAATTATTTTGTATTTGAATTATTATGAAGATGACTGTCTTATGGGTTGTGTAGCACCGTATAGTCTGATAGAGGTTTATCGACGTTTCAGAAGTCCTTGCTGCTTCCATCATCAGGGCGCCAGAAGACGGCCATCTTTAGACACACTGCCGCCTTGACTTACAAGTTCTATAGAGAGTTTTGTGCTGTAATTCGTGGGGGCGGAGGGGTTCAGTGTGACGTGTCCTATAACTAGGCTGCGGAAACGTCTCTAATTGTCGAAACGTCATTACCTGTGCCTTGAACCGCCATATTAATTTGTTGTCACGCCACCCCCTCCCCACATGTACGAAACCCACGACTGCGAGGCTAAAGTGAACTTTCGCATGGTCGAACCTCATTTTTAATTGACCTCTGATATGACCTGCCCGCCCTCGTCTGGGTGAGGACAGAAGTGACTCAAGACCACGTGTTTGTTCGCAAACACAGCCCTGAACATGGTGACAGTATTTCACTCCGAAACGTTGGTATACACGGCGCTATAACCCAGAAGAAAAAGTCATCGTAACCCCTCACCGACGTGGGAATCTCAAACTTCAACTCTTAATAAGAATTTTGGTTTTCGGAATTTGAAACTAAAGTATGATTCTCTGAGCACTAAATTTTAAAATCTTACTACAAAGTCCGAAGATAATACGTCACTAGAAGTAGATAGGATAATATTAAAGTTGATATAGACGTAATGTGAAGGCGTTTATTCGAGTTATCCAACCCTTTAGTATGATTTTGTGAACACCGTCGTGAACATTCGGTTCCCGCCTTTAATGGAACCCTGCTCACAACAGCCCCCCGAAAAACCCCCCACCGGTCCCTACACCTGATCATCAGTCCGTACCTCAAAGAAAACATCGCGTCTCCATTAACAAAGATCAATTGGTTAATGCTGTTTTCGTGTTATTAAATATTACATTCTGGGGATTGTGATGTACGCCAGTGTTGCATTCTGGGAAGGGCTCCCCCCCCCTCCCGCTCCCCACGTATAATGTGTTCTCAGAATCCAGCACAAGCCATTAATAATAATACTGGAATGCATTTAGTTTAGTTTATTTATACGTGCATGTAGGCGTAATTGATACGTCGTTTTCAGTTTTTATTTGTTTAATGTTCAAATCGTGAAATGGCTTCCGACCTACGTAACGTCGAGACAGAATTATTTACGGAACGCAGGGAATGGATGTCTGGTACTCGGAGTTTTTGATGACAGGTCGCTGTGTGATTGTCTGCTTTATCTTGACACCTACTGAAACTGTTTGTGTGTTTGTTTGTTTAGAGGCGTGTCAGCTTCATTTCTATTTGCGCCTCACACACACACACACTCTATATATACATGTAACCAAGTTCTTTATTCTTTCTTTTAACCCTTTGAAGCAGAAAAGAAGAGAGAGAGAGAAGAGAGAAAGTGGGGGGAGTAGCGATAGGCACTACTGTTATAAATGGGGGAGGGGTATAAAGTTGGTTGTGGGCTACGAAGGTTCCCAGGCAGTGCCCGCTCGTCCTTCTGGTATGAATAAGTTTAGTGAGGACAAGGGATTTAGGAGACAGGATGGGGTAAGAAATAGGGTAGGGGGGGAGTTGATTCGGGTCTTTGCGTTAATTTTGAATTTTGATATTTTTCATTTGCTCTAGTACCGAGGAAAACCACGGAAAACCTTGGTCGAGTTGGCCGGTCGCAGGACCTTCCGGATGCGTGCTGCTGACTTCTAGCCAGCAGTCCGGTATTTAAAATCGCGAGCCCTAACGGTAGCCTCTGTCCGTGCGCTTCCTTTATTAAAAACTGATACATTTTTTAATTTTATTTTTTACATAGATTTGTTTTGGATAAGAAACAACCAACTTGGCTCGTTGCTTATCCAATTACAAAAAAAAAAGTTTCAATCCATATTCCATAAATCATTTTTCCATTTTCATGCCGTGGTCGTCTTGTCTTGTCTTGTGTCCGTTGGTTGAAGCAGAAGATCGTCTGAATATTATTTATGAATTCAGTCCGTACCGCGAAGAAAACACTTCACTTAACCATTAGAAGTCGAATCAGGCGGTACCACATAAGATTTAACAAGCCTATCTTTTTCGCAGTTTATCATCTTCTTTTCTTACTTTATTTCTTATTTCTTGTCTACTTTTACGTAGGAGATCTGACTAGATCAATTAATGTTATTTTTTTGTAACTAAACCCGATATTTGATTTTTCAGAAACCAGAATTGGCCTGATTTCGCTTACTTAATTTCTAATAAAAAATTGTTGTTATCTAAAGAAAAACAAATGTGTGTAACTTTCGTGGGGTGATTGTACATTGACCTTTTATATTACGAAAGGAAAGACGATCGATCGATCGATCGATTTCAGTTCGTCAGATCGAGTTTTATCCAGTGCATAAGCGAGAGCCGCCATTATTTTTCTTAAATTCGATTCTACTAAAACAATTAAGATGCTTTACTTATTACGAGTGTCTTACGAACGGGTATTGCCGTTTACCAAAACGATGTGATTTTTCTCAGTCCCTCCAAACTGATTTCGGGAATATGCCTTAAAGTAGGCTACGACCGCTTCCTTCAATTTTTTTTTTTTTTTTGCAATTTATTAATCGTCCTTTCGTTCTGTGATACATTGATCCGAAGTACTTGAAAGCGCCGTTTAATGAACAAGAAATAAAAAATACTATACTAACGTGCGTGATTTAGCCCAACCAAATTTGGCCAAATGACACTGACTTAACGCATTTATAAGCATTATAATACTTCTCGGTTTAGTGGTACGTTTTTTTAAATGAATCCTCCGTTAGTAATTTTAAGCGACACGCATCCTTTGCTGTTTCATGTGTAGATAATTTGGTATATTTCCTTCATACCAACAGTGGATAACCATGCTTGACTAAAATAGTACCTTTTCTCCTTCATTAACATTCTTATCTCCTTGGCTGTGTTTGCTGAATTCAGGATCCAAGCACGAATTTGATCTTTGTGGATGAATGTCGCTGCTTTAACTTCCCGCGAAGATTTGCTTTGGGGCCTGAAGACGCGGTCCAGCAGGTAACCACTTCATCTTAACCCCTGCCTCTTGCCTGTATTTTATTGTAATAGCAAATTCATGACAATCAGCTGTTTAACCCTTTGAAGCCGAAAGGACAGAGAGTTAGGAAGGGTATGACATCTTATAGTTAGAAGGTTCCCAGGCAATGCCCACTCGTCCTTCCGATACGGATAAAGTAAGAGTGAAGACGTTAGGGTAATAATTAGTGAGAGTTTGCTAATAGCGACGTCAGAATTTTGATTTTTTGTTAATGAATGTTGAAGGAATAATTTGGAATGTTAAGTAAAATATTTAAGAAATCAGTCCGTACCGCGAAGAGAACACCATAGTTTTCCATTAGAAGATCAACTGGTTAATCCTTTGAAGCCAAAGCTCGTCTAAATATTATTTAATAATTCAGTCCGTACCGCGAAGAAAACACTTCACTTCACCATTACAAAAGTCAGGTGGTTAACGCTGTTTAAGGAAATGTTCGCTGGTTACAGTGAGCATAATACGAAATCTATAAATACAAAATGAAGAGCTACTGATTGTTAAAGCAGGTGGTTCATATAGTTACCATGTGGTTTTAAAGGGTTGAGTTATATCAGTCGGTAAAGCGAATTTCCCAATATCCGGCAGAAGGACGGATTTACGACAAATTGTCCACACCGGCCCGCCGGTGTAAATTAGAACAGAAATAAAAGCTATTGAACACTTAACTTTCTACAGTAACGAATGCATTTTGGCAAAGCAGTTCTGTAATATTCTACACTGCTCACTCCGTCTCTGTTAATTGTGAATAATTTCAAGACCATTTTGGTTTAAAATACTTACAATTTACAGTCGTTGCTTAAATTAAGACAAGCTACACACTCTGACAAATAACAAATGTTATCATTTAATTAAACTTAATCACTCTTTTGTTGCTTTCTCAAAAAGTGGACAAGCTTTTATAAAGCTGTGTCATTATAAATTTGAACTGTGTAGTTATCTGAGAATATTTGTCATACATAGTCTCAATATGAATTACTTTCTTGTTATAAAAATTACGTTCAATACGACGCAGTGCCTTGTGATTAACTTCGTAGACCTCAGAATCTTAAAAAAAAGTCACTTTTAGCGTGATTATAGCAATTGAGTTTAAAAAGCTTTATTGTGGAAGGATTTGGAAAGATCTTAAACACGTCAGTAATTTCGTAAATTTGCCTCAAATGTTGGGCTATTACTTCTGTTGTGGAGGGGAGTTGAATAATTACGAGATCACGAGAATTGTGTTGCGTGCACTCTGTTCAGGACAGTAGCATTCACGTTAAGTGGCCGCGTTGTCTTGTGCGATTTTCCATTATACCTTGGGAATACCGGGCAATAGTGGCCGCGTTGTCTTGTGCGATTTTCCATTACACCTTGGGAAGACCGGGCAATAGTGGCCGCGTTGTCTTGTGCGATTTTCCATTATACCTTGGGAAGACCGGGCAATAGTGGCCGCGTTGTCTTGTGCGATTTTCCATTATACCTTGGGAAGACCGGGCAATACTGGCCGCGTTTTTATGTGTTGGTATTGCCTAACTGGTCCAAAGATCAAATCCTCTAATGCGATGCTTAAGTAGGTTTAAAACCGAGTAATGTAAACTCATGTGATACTTAGTCTGAGTTCTTGCCGGTGGATGGATTCGGTTTAAACTTATGTACGATCCGACCGCACCTAATAATTCGTTTGTTTTGGGTGTTTCAGGTGAAAATTTGGTTCCAAAACCGTCGGACCAAATGGAAGAAACAGGACAACATAAGCAACGCGGAAGCTGCGGAACACAAGAACCAGTCCGCGGGGAAGCCGGAGAAACACAACAGCAAAGACCCCGCCGCGAAGACTGCAGTAGCAGCGCCTACCAAAACGTCGATCGTTCCATCTCCCGTGACAGTGCCACAAGTGCCAACGTCGATGGCGGCCGTCACCAAAGTGAACAACGGAATAAATTTAGTGAAAGCACCCGCCCTCGGTGTAGACTCAGCGCCCGTCACTGTAGGTCCCATGACTCCCTTGGCCTCACCCAGCAGTGGCGAAGACCACTCGAACGCTTCCCTGTTCACAGCGGACGGCTCAGTATCTGAAAGTTGTTTTTCTGAATCGGACTCCATGAGACAGCAAGTACTGACAGTGGCGACAAATCTAACAGTGAACGTAGCGGCAAGTGAGCGAACTACAAGTAGGTCTCCGACGGCCTCTCCGGCTTCATCTTGCGCGGGCACGAAGACTCCTAACAATGGCACGAATATGAATTCGTGCAGTGTTGTACAAAGTCCGCCTTCAACCGCCAGCGATCCGAACGCCACAGGTGTTGGGGCAGCGAACCTTTCTGCGGAAACGGAACAACGTCCTGTGTCGCCATCTAGCTAACTACTAGCGAAACAATTCAGGAGACAGAGCGCCCGTAGTCTGTATTGTCAGTCGAGGGAAACTTAAAACTGAGTCCACTTACAGCAGAGACAAATACCGCCAGATTTTCTGTTCAATATCTGCTGCTGCTGCTGTTAACAGAAATATAGTACAGCAAGTCTTGTCAGATAGTTTTGTTTGTTGCGAATTGTGCCATACATTTATCATTTCCTTATTAGTGAGTACGTACAAGTATAATTTAACATAAATCAGAGATGATCAGTTTCATTTGTCAGTAGATGTGTATCACGTGTATTATCTTAAAATCCTTCCAAAATTAGGCAAAAATAGTTTACGTTTCAGCAGTAATTTTACTGAAAACTGTAAATCCGTTGAGTAATCGTTACTGAGAGTGGGAAAATTGCAAGTTGAAAGTGCTTGTTAATTTTAAATCATAATTTTGTGAATGCCCTTTTTTTTTTAATAAATTTGGAAGCTCGCTCTGTCTGTCTCTCTCTCATTGGAGGAAATCTAGTTAGCTGCAAGTGTGAGAGGTTTTCCTCTAATGAGATTGATTTTGGGGAATGATTTTTTGTTTAGGTCGTCCTGTAGAAAAAGAAAAGCTAGCAAGAATTTTGTGTACCTTAGAAACTGAAAGAAATCTGGGCAAGCCTTTTTCAGGTGATACAGTAGTGCACAATATAAAAGAATGGGTGTTATGAACTGTCTTTGTGGTCGGAGTGTTTTAATAACTTAGACAAATTTATTTTTCTTGTCTATAAATCGCTTTTTAAGTTTTACTGTAATGACACGATATTGTCATTTGGGCTGTGTCCTGAAAATTGAAAATCCTCGTCAGTACGGTATTTAAGTTCTTTTTGTTTTAATCTTTACTACTGCATAATATATTATTATAGAAGAAACAAAGAGCTAATTTGTAAATAAAATTAAATTTCAAAGATCATGTGTACATTTTCTTATCCTGGTACTCCACACGCTTATCCACAATTTTCTATTGGTTACAGACGCAGTCTTTGGGGCCCACCCAGCCCCCCTACCCAATGGGTACAGCGGGTATTTTCCCCTGGGATAAAGCTGACACCCACCCCGATATAGTGCCGAGGTCAAGAATGAGTAGGAACTATAAGCCTCTCCTCACAAGCGCCTCCGTGGAGTGTAGTGGGACAACTTTACTTAACTAAGATAATAAAGTATTTTTGTAACGTCATAAATCATGTAATCATTGTCAGATTTAAATTTGATTTTTCGCTTTAAGAAAGAATATCATTGGTAGATTGGATTCGTCTGGCTTAAGTCAAGGGAGCAGTGGCGTGCTACGAAACACCTCAGTATTATTACCCTATAATGGTAAATGTTTACGTTTTCAAAAAAATTACAGTCTATATAAAATCGATTTTCAAACTTTAAAAATCCGTAAAAAAATACCGCAATAAAAATATACGATCTCAGATTTTTATCTAGAATTTTAAGCTTTTGTGAAAAGTGGATAATGAAAGAAAATCCTAAAATACAATCAAGGTTACTAAAATGAAATTTGCGAGAACAAACCGAAATTAATTTGGCTACAAGATTAGATAGGGAAGTCAGTTACTTTAGAGACCCGATACATGAACGTAAATTATATCTCCATTTAACACAACAAAATTGTCTTTCAATTAATTTAGTTATCTGATGTCTGAGCGAGTTTGTCTCTTTTTAATGTTTTCATTTTACCTTTGTATAGCTCGCAACATTGGAATGACGGATATTTTATTATATACTTTATAGCTTATATTTTTACTGCGATATTCCCACATTCGACACAAAAGTTTACATTAATAAACTAAATATAAATTTACGACAACCTCAAGTCTACTGTCCTCTGTTCCAGTTTAATCGGCGATAAAGCGACGAGCTCTTCACTGCTTTATGAAAAAGTCAAAAAGGGATTTGAGCTGAGTCTAATAGCCACCTGCAGGTTTCTGTGAACTGAAAAATGTTCAGGTAAGTTTATTTATACGCCCTTTAAACACACTATGAGACAGACGCAGTGTTCAAAAACAAAAGGGCTCTCCTCCGCGTTAACGTGTTTCAAAGCCTGATTTGCTTTGTACTTTAATAGCCTAACACACGTATTCAGTAGTTTCTGTAATAATATCAAATCAGAATCGTTCCACGTCAACACTGAATGAGAAGCTGATAGTTGTTAAGCTAGGCAAGGAAATCCGTGTGTGTTATAGCATTCAAAGTTATAGTACTGTGTTCACAAGAATCCACAACCTGAAATTATTTAATCGCGTCTAATACTCTTTACGAATCGATTTAAGATGCATTTTAATATTATCCTATGTACATCTAGATATCTCCCTTGTTGTTTTACGAATAAAATGCTTTATGTTTATGTTAACTCTGATAAAATACGAAGTTTCAGGGCCACCCTCGTCGAATCTTACCTCTAGTACTCTTACTAAAAGTCTTACTCCGTCCATAATTTTCTTCTTGAGAGGTAAAACATTCGTGAAATTCCAAGGATGGGAGTGGAATGTAGCACGCATGGGGAAGACGAGGGGTTCAAGCAGTCACTTGTGATGCCAAGGAGCAGTTGTCGGGACAGTGTGATTGAGTGAGCGGAATGGATTCAAATGGCCTCAGAGACTTTGGTATGTCGAAGCTAATGGATTTTCGCTTTGGGGCACATAAAATGACCACAAATTTCTCTGAAATTCCTCGCTCTCTATCTTTCTCTTGAGAAAAAGTGACCCACAGAGATACATTTTCAGCGGAAGTTCTCCTGAACGACAATTACGATTAGTTAATCAGCCAGAAACTGTGATTGAAGTTTGACCGCATTCAACGGAATGCCCCCGAAAATGCTGTATTCTCAACGCATTTGTGCTGCGCGTAATGCATAACCGTCAGGGAGTAACTACTCCGACTCCATGACCGTAGTGAACGGATTTTGCAGTTTGCTACGTGTCTTATATCAAAACATTAGAGATAACTTTCGAGAAAAAAACTCGCTAATGAAGTATAAATAATTTCGCTTTCGAAATGAAAAGAACCCAAGAAACACGACTAGCAGAAACGGATTTGGTGGTGTGTGATACATTGTATTAGTGTGTCATGTATTTTTCCCCCCTCTGTTTATTCACATATTTATTTCTGTGGGTACTTTATTCCGTGGTTTGCAAAGTACACGTCACTAGAATACCATTACGTAATCATCTAAGTGTCTAATTCTTTGGCGAGACTCGACATTTACTTTTTTTTCTATTGAAATATCATGCAATAAGAATATCCTTGCTCAAAAATGGGAATTATTGAGCAAGAAAGTATACCAACAATAATCTCGGGATATGCGGGTTGCCCAGCTCCTACGAAAAAATTCGAAAGACACGGACAGTCAATACTGCAAAGTATTTTTCTCTCGCGTTAATGAGTGGAAAATAACTGAAGAGCTTATTTTCCAACCAGCGTTTTATTTTTAATGTGTAGTTGCTCATTGACAGTTCAAACGTAGTTTAACTTATCCTTTTTAGTCATCTCGCTTATCTATTACACTCATCTTAAGTAAGTGTTTAAATAAAAGCGACGCTTTCGTATATACCAGTGGTATTCAACCTGGGGTACGCGAAGACATCTTAGTGGATACGTGAAATTTAAAAATAAATATTATTTTATGATAAACACTGAATAATCAGTAATGTAATTTATTTGATTTATTTTAGATGTAGATTATATACTATGTATAACTTGAATTATACACCAACAACTTTGGGGGTACAAAGTTGAAGAGAAATTATATCTGGGGGGTACGCGAACAAAAAAAGTTTGAATACCACTGGTATATATTGATGGGAAGAAATTAAATAAATTCACGGGTGGTAATTATACCACCACGTCGCCAGTTAAAGGTTTCATAAGGACCCTATTTTTAGCTTCACATGAAACTAATAAATTGTTCAGTCAAATTGACGGGTTTTCAGACACGAACAGATACGAGCGATTTTAAGATCGACACTTTATTGAAACTTCGTACATTTCGCTTACGTCAGTTATTCCCGATCGTACTTGCGTCTTGCCATGTTTTTACGATATTCTTCCCACCCCTTGAATATCGGTATCAGCTGGAAGCCAGCACTTAATTAAGTGTTGGTTAAGATAATGTATCTTTATCGTGCTCTCATCTTAAATAGCTTATACTGGCTGATTGGATTCAGTCCCACACTTCTGGTCCAGGCGCGATTCAAACCGGTCTTGAAATGTAACTCAGCATTGCCGAGTTAAATTACTGTAATTATAACGTTATACGTCGGACTTGTTTTCATGTCTTGGTTTGTAATGTAATCCCTTGCGATTTAAAATGTAGTTAAAATCAGGGTTGATATAGGATTATCCAGTTTTTTACGTGCTTTTTAAAAGTTGCAAAAATTTCGCCTGTAAACTTTGCATCGTCTGTCTGTCCGCCTCTTCACCTGTAACAACTCGAGAAATTCTGAAATTACTTTAAATTTCACGTGTTGCGGGCCGCACGTTGCCGACCCGTGCAACAGAACGCATTCCATCAACTAAACATTCAACGCGCCGAATTAGCCTTCCTTCAGCTCGGCGGAGTCATAATTTATATCCCTAGACCATACCTAGTTTTCCAGAGGTACGTTTTAATCCGCATTAGTATCCATTTATTTCTAAAAGCCATAAGTTTTGTTGAGCTCTCGTTACCTGAATAACAAACGCCCTTTTAATTATTCAGATGTTGAGATTAAATAACAGGTTTCAAGCTGCGGCGTAATATTTATTGAGGTGAAGCGAAGCGTGGAACAGATTAAAACCAAACAAGCTTCGATTCACGTAGTTCAACAGACAACCGCAGTGGCAGTAGCGACGAAACTGGGAGTTTGCTCAAATAGTTCTCTCGTTTCCCGTAGCGCTGCGAGTGCAAGGCGAGCAAAGTTGAAAGAGAGGTTAACAAGCGGCAAGAAGACGTTATAGTAACCGTCACCAAATTTGCAAGATTCAAGGTCGCAGCAGAATTGTGTAACACGAAAAGGAGAATCCTGGATTCAGAAGACTGTTCAAAACTCGCAGTGTAGCAAAGCGAGCAACTCAGCACTGGTTACTTAGGCCCACACTACAAGGCGAGGTAGGGACTGAAATCCTTCCGTGGCCTTGAATTTTTCAATTTAGTGACGGCTACTGTAGTTATATTCTGCTCAAGTCATCAGCGGAACAAATAGCGACGCCATCTACTGAGTAAAAATTGTGATTACACCTCGTCGCCACAGATGTCACTAGCAGCATTTCGCGTTGCAAGAAACTCGTTGTTCATACGCTAGATGGTGGAGTAGTGTTAAATGTTTATAAATATTTACCCTAATTTCTTAAATACACAGCCGCATTGAAACTGATTTCTATAGTGGTGAAGTGTTGAGTCGTATTTTTCGAACGAATTGAATTTTTAAATATAATTTAGGTGAGCTTTGGGCTTCAGAGTGGTAACAGATCGTGGATGTGAATCCTTGCTCAGAAGCTGCTCATGAAATTATTTTGTTTGTACAGAATTAGACAGCTTATTACTGTGTTTACGAAATCACTTTGCCGGAAGGTAAAGTGCATCTTATGAGCCGGAATAGGTTTTTCAGGAAAGTGAACGAGTAGGATATCATCATGGCGTTTCGCGAAATTTCCAGAAGCGACGATATGAGGTATGGACACAGAAGTTTCTTTAAGCTGGTTAATTTACCGATCCTACTAACAGTAAGTTTGACCCTGACAGACAATAAGATGGACTCCATAAAAGTGTGTACAATGGTTTTATTCTGACATGGTTTAGTCTGTAGCCCTAAGGAAATAATTTTGAATTAGGGTGAGATTTCAGGTTCTCACGGCGACGGATATAAAGATGACAGTCATCTGGGACATTGCGTATCCTCGTAGCGACCGACGTTTCAGATGTTACTTGCGTCCATACTCAGGACGACACATTGAGTTTTCAGGAAGTCAGATTAAATGTTGACTTAAGCATTTGGTATTACGTGTGATGGGATGTTATGTTACGTCATTGATCCACAAATAAACACAGCTTGCCTGATCATATTGGGTGAGCTATGTCAACACCAGGTATAAAATTATGTACCGACTTATTTTGTGTCCGACCTTTCCTGTAACATCAAAGTTAAAGGGATTAAAAATATATTACAGGTTATTCGCCCTGAGGCGTCCTGATCTATCGACTACCTTCCCACACAGTTAACGGGGAATTACCATCACGAAGTAACCTTGCTTGCCTGCTTCATTTCTGTTTTTAGACTAATTAAAATCCTCTGTGATATGATTCTCTCGGCGATTATGGTCTCCAGGGTTGTGACACAGCAAATGATACCTTTACCCGGAAAATGGAGCAAATGTTTTCGTCAGAAGCTTTGGGAACTGTAAGCTAGGTGGCGTGGCGTCAGACCCCAGAAGGTGTAAGAGTTCAGCTGTCAAAATTTTTAATAAACTATATAAAAATAGTGGAATTGTTTATTTTTGTGCAGAGTTTTGAGGTCTTAAGTCGTCATTTATGTTATATGATTTGAACCTTTTGTTTATTTATGTATATGTCGGTCTTCTGGGTTTTTGCGCCGTGTTCATCGCCGTGAGAACATAACATTTCGCCTAGTTTGTATCTGTATTTTACTGTCTGTGTCGCGTGAGAATTAAGTTTGATGGTGGACGAATTAATTTTCTCAGCGATATTTTGAGTCGTTTAATTCAATATTATTGTTTCTTTGTTCTAAGGGGCATTTTGAAAAACTTCGTGTCGACTTTGACTGAGATTCCGCATCGCTGTTCATATGACTTAAAAACATTTAAGAGCTGAGATTTATTAAATATTGTAAAACTTTTATCTGAAATTTATTATTAAAGGGCTGGAAGCTTGTTCTATAAAAGGTTTAGATTTATATTCGATGAGGCGTGTCAACTCGTGTTACATGCTTCAGTGTGCCGTGCTAAATTAAGCGGATATTATTAAAATGTAACGATGTAACCGGATTTAACAACGTGGCCTTAGGGCGACAGCAATCCTGAAGAGAGAGTGGGGGTGAACGATGGAAATATGTAAATTATTCAGTAGACTCTGTGCATAAACATGTAGAAACTGGCATATGGGATTACTGACGTAAGCATTACTAGAAAAAGTTTATTCTGAACTCATTTAAGTGGCCTAACTGCATTTTCGAGGCTCGCTTAGGCCTTCAATATGCATATTTCTACACTGAAATTGTTGTTTCCTGTGTAAAGCTTATCAGAAGAAATATTATTATTCTTAAAATCCATCTAATTTACAATAAGCATTGCTGTTTAAAGCATGTTGTTCCCCCAACCTCAAATAATTGTAACCTAATAATTAATTAATCAATAAAGCTACTGGCTACGGCCTGGAAAACCTGTGGTTGACATGCCCTGAAGACGGAGGCAATAAATTCTTCCGAAACGTTGGTATCTGCGAAGTCCACGTGGCTTTACTGTCATAATGCCTAAATTTTCACAGATTTGAGAAACTCATCTCTCATAATACGAATTCGAAACTTCAGTCTAACAACACGAACAAAATGTTCTTTTAAGAGATGTTTCCAGATCACTGATTTTCCGTCGTTCATCGACCGCATGAAATGTATGTAATAATTTAATACCTGCAGCGTTTTAAGTGAGCTTTTTTATGGGGTACGTTATCTTCAGCTTCTGATGGGAAGGAAATTTGGGCTCCTTGAAGCCTAGTAGCTTACTGAGAGTGGTATTCCAATATTTGGTCATCGCTTCGTCTCTTTCTTGCCTGTGTGCATGACGAAGATGATTAGTTGAAGGCAGATCTTGCACCTGGTTCAGATTAAAGAGATTTGACTGAAGTAATTCCGTCTTGACCTCCTTTGACCTGCGGATCCCCTGTAGCTAAGTACATTTGTTCGCCAGGAGAATTTCGCGAGCCTCTCCTAACAATAATAACTGAAGAGACTGGTAATTTATTGTTCTTTTTGTAAGATTTGAGGTTCTCACAGCGGTGAGTATGAAGATTTCTGTCTTCTGGGTTGTTGCGCTGTGTAGTCTGGTCGATGTTAACCAACGTTTCGGAGGTCATACTGCCTCCGTCATCAGGGCGATGAGTATGAAGACAGAAATCTTCTTATTGTTCTTTTTATTTTACCTGATGGTTTTCATTGGAGTTTAATGCACAGATTATGCACTGCCCAGTTATCAACATATAATAGTCCATTTTACGATGTCATGATGAATTAAGAACGTAAAAACCCGGAAAAATTGAAGGAAATTGTAAAATATAAATACGCTAATTATTAAAAAAAAAAAATTGACTGGCCACTGTTATGTATGAGTGTCTTCGCTGCAAATATTAAAAGAACTGTCTACTGACTGTTAAAAATTAATTAATGTCTTTATTATTATTTGATTTAGTGAAATTGTTCCCATACGATTTGTTACAAATTTGAAAATATTTGAATAATGCATGTAGTTTTCGGGTTGAATGTGGTAAGCATTAAATAATTTGAGCTTGTAATTTTAATTTCTATAAGCAGATAGACGATTAGCTTACTTATACATTGACAATTTAAAGTCTGGCAAGAATTTAAATCTTCGAATTTGTATCTAGCAAATTTATAGTAATCAGAAATCACTATCAGTTGTTTTGTTTCTTGCTAGCCTCAACATTTAGCATTCGAAGGAAAAACGTCCTATTGCTTCAATAATCAAAAAGTCTTCAGCTTATATTATCAAACTTCCTATGATTCTCAATGTAACCAGCGATTATTTCCTTAAACAGCGTTAACTAGTTGATCTTTGTAATGGTGAAGTGTAGTGTTTTCTTCGCGGTACGGCCTGGATTCTTAAATAATATGTTCGCAGCGCGTGTCTCATTATAAACAGCGAGTATTTCCTTAAACAGCGTTAACCAGTTGATCTTTGTAATGGTGAAGTGTAGTGTTTTCTTCGCGGTACGGACTGAGATCTTAATATTATTGCATGTGTTATTCGTAATATTTGTTACCGTTCTGTAGGCAGGAATGAGAGCGTTTGTTTGTTTGTTTGTTATTACGTATTCTCGTTTATTATGACTACAGTTTCTTCAGTTCCCTCACATCTCGTGTCACACTGTTCCATATATCGACAGGCCGATGGACGAGTGGTGTGGTTTGGGGGCTGGTTTTCGCCCTCAGAGACTTCATATTGCCCTGGGGAGGAAATGTAAAAGCTAGAAAGATGAGAGAAACTAAATAAAATTTTGCAAAAATAAAAAAATATATAAAAATAAAAATGTGTGTGGGTGGTATATTTTCCCTTTGCTCCGACAGGATGCGCAGTGTCCACTGTTGTTATAAATTGAAGTTGCTGACTGATTTGAAATTTAGAAACTTGCTGATCTACGCTGAGGAGTGAAGTAACTTCCAGTCGGTTCGAGCCCCCTTACTGTGAGCAGACATGACAAGCAGGTGAGACCTTTCTGAGTTCCTAACATTTGTGCTTTACTTATTAAGGCAAATGGTAATACGTAATATGTGAAGTTTAATCCACGATAACGTAAGAACTCGACTAGTGGCCTGTCAGTTCTCCAACTTTGTACATGTTACAATTTTTCGGCGGGCATAATAACGTCGAGTATCCTTGCTCAGCAGTCATTTAATTGTCGAAACAGTCACTACGCTACGCTCTGTGAGAATGTTTTTGATACAACTCATTTATAAGATAAATAAATAATCAGGTATTGACACTTCTTCTGTTTGTCCAAAGGAAATAAAAAATTGCTTAAAACTTCTGGCTCTTTTATAGATATACATCAGCAGCTGACAGCAGATTATATTCGGGAATGTTTGCTCCCAATTAGTTTAAAAGATTTTATCTTCTCTTCTCCTTTCTAAAAACATAAAGCTTATAGCCTTACACTTTACCTGTCGGTTTGTATGGATGTAAACCTTGGTTCCTTACCCTAAGACAAAAATATGGATAAAGAGTTTCCGACAATAAATATTATTAAAAAGTATTGCATCCAAATGGGTGGGTGTAACAAGTTTTTGAGGGTAGGATGTTCTGAAGAACTTCATACGTAGTATTTTCGATAGTTATTATAAATGTGCTTAAATTAAGGAGAATGAAATGGGCCGGCCATGTAGAAAGAGTGGTACAGATTTTCATTTCAAATGTTAGTCGAAAAATCTGGTGGGAAAAGACAAGTTGGGAGACCTAGACTTAGATGGGAAAAGAATATTAACTTGGACCTTTGTACCCCCAAAGTTGTTGGTGTATAATTCAAGTTATACATAGTATATAATCTACATCTGAAATAAATTAAATAAATTACATTACTGATTATTCAGTGTTTATCATAAAATAATATTTTTTTAAATTTCACGTACCCCCTAAGATGTCTTCGCGTACCCCCGGGGGTACGCGTATCCCAGGTTGACTACCACTGATCTAGATATTGCAGTAAACCCTTGGGTTTGTTAAAAGGCCACGTATTTGATGTTGAGATTACAAAATGTGCTTAAAGTTTCTCCTCGATTGCGTTAAGTTGGACGAACTTAAGTCACGGCTGTCACGTGTTTCAGGAGACTTTGTGGCAGGGCCCTGCTGTTGGTAGCTGTGCTGAATTGTCTACACTTCAGGACGTGGGGCCAGGTGACATTCTCCAGGGACTGGAACGCTGGAAAAAGGTCACCAGCTGACCTGCAGTGCAGTGCCATTATCAAATCAGCTGACGAATTCTGCAGAGTTTTGATTGTGAGTTTTATGAGAAATTTACGAGTTCAAATAGCATTATTGCTCGATTAATTACATTCAAAATTCACTAAAGTCTCGTGGGTTATGATTTCTAGGTGGGGTACACGTTTCGCATAAATATACTGCCTCCATCTACAGGGCTGAAGTATCCACGAAAATAATTTAAAATGTAGGTCTTACAGAAAAAATAAATATTCTATTTTCTGCCTTCATCTTCTGGGTAGTGACGCCGTGTGGACTTGTAGGTAGATATCAGAGGAACATATGCCTCCTTCTTCAAGGCTGAATTCTCTTCCGTAACGTTTGATCCACCTACAGATTTAGAGCTTGTGTTTGAAGTATGTTTATTAACCAGAACATTTACATTTTGTTATCTTTGTAATGTCGAAATGTGTTGTGCGGTTTCGTGCGGTTGAACTCTACATATATTATTAGTTATTAGCGTTTCGCTCATAAAAGTAGTAACTGAATTGCTTCATTGTTGTTGTATGTAATTAATTATATTTTTATCATGAACCATCAAGTTTGTATGATGAATAATATTTTAAATGTATGTAATGGTTTAATATTCCCTATTGGATGTGTATATGAAGTTATATCAATGAGTTATTGTCTGTATGTCAGGATGGCCGAGCGGTCTAAGGCGCCAGACTCAAGGTTAACCTTGCCTACCCAGTAGGCTTTGCGAGAAGTTCTGGTCCTCTTCTGAGGGCGTGGGTTCGAATCCCACTTCTGACAAACTTTTTTTTTTATCTTTTTATACATAATATATGTGTTAATAGCACAGCATTTTAAAAATATTGCGCCTTTTCATCGAAACAACAGTGACGCAAGTACAATTAATATTTCTTCTTTCAGGAGGAATTTCGTCAATTGGCCGCGTGCGAAACGAAATCACTTCTGAGATTCCTGAAGGATTATGACGACAGTCAAGCTGATATATTTATGGAAAGTCAAAATGGACGACAGACGCCAACAAACGATCTGCATCAACGCAATTTTTAAAACATCTGCTACGATGAATTAAAAATTACATGTAATGGCATACTGAATTATATATTTTTTGGGCAATAAATATAATTTTTCTCTTGTAGCATATCTGTGATGGACCTTCAGTGTTTCTTCTATGGATATTTTAAAAGTCTTTAATCTACTCTTGCAGTGAGCTCTGCTTAGACCACGGATTCTCAATCGTTAACGACCTGGGCCTACATTCACCTTTCCTCTTCTTTGAGCTGAGCAGTTTGTCGCAGCGATAATTGTTCAATGATATTATCATAAGATTATTATTTTTATCATTAAACGTGGCAAAACAATTATTATTCTTCGCGAAGTGCGAAAGACACAGGCGGACCGCGGGTTGAGAAGCCCTGGATTCCGCCAAGTCCATAGGTATATCTAAAGCGTTAAGGGTTTACTAATTAGGCACCGTGGCTTTGTCTGTAGTGTTTAATCTTAACGCATACATTCCTTGCAATCGATTATATAAATCATTTCAAAAGCAGTAGGTAGGAGTGACATGTCTTCGCCAATAAAGAACTTGCTGTCCCGCTCGCCTACGTCAGAGAGGTATCAGTACAAGAGACATCTTGGTGAAAATACGTTTGGTGTGTCCATTGTGTTACAGTTATTGCTTTAATTGCAGTGGAATTGTGAACTGATTTGAAAATGATACGGACAGCAGACTTTATCATCGTAAAGGTACGTAACAACATACTTTCATACTGCAAAGTAGAATTAATTAACTTGAAACTTTTGTCGGGGAAGGGGCTAGCTTCAGGTCATAGTCCCTTTTCGCTCGCCATGTTTGTCTGTTGTCATGCGCTGAGACCGTGCAGTTGAAACATGTCCTACCTTTGTTTTGCAATTGCTGATGCTTCCTTTGCATTTAAAACAAGTCTTAGTTTAACTTATTACACACTTTAAGAAGTAAACACACGTAATTAAGCAGTGTTTAACAATCATGTCATGTTTCGGCATCTGCTGTTGTATTCGACCTTGTAAGGAAGTTCGATTTAATACTTTGCCCTCTTACATTCTCCCGCCATTATGCCTTCATCTAATAATATAATTTAATTATTTTTACAGTTATTAACAAAACGGATTGTAATAATTTATTAATTTATTGGTTAATCTGTTCGTAACTTAGTGAAGTGAACCCAAGATATTAATGACCTCGTGTGTACATATTTGGCTCCATGCGATGTCTTAGACCCATCTGATTGTATTGACATATATCATTAAATTAAATAATTATTTTGCTCTGGACGATGTCTCAGTAACTTACAGACAACCCCCCCCCCAGTATCATGACTTAATGTAGTGGAACACAGGGTAAATATCAGTTTATGAATTATTTTTTGTGTGTTATTGAAAGTGATGGGACATTCCATCTTTGTTTTGACAACCTCTCCATTCCTCGGAATCGTTCGTAAATATTCGGCAATCGTTTTGGATTTTCCTTTGTTTCGTGTTGGTTTAGACGAGGACAAATGTTCAAATGATAACTTGCTTAACCCTTTGAAGCCGAAGATCGTCTGAATATTATTTATGAATTCAGTCCGTACCGCGAAGAAAACACTTCACTTAACCATTAGAAGTCGAATCAGGCGGTACCACATAAGATTTAACAAAAGAACATCCCGGTCAAAGCCTTAATATGGAATCAGGACAAATTTCCAATCACACTTCGACCCCCCGGTGATCTTCAGCCGACTTCAGAACGTTGATACTATTGCTACGGTAAATTCATATAGAGTAAGAACTCTGTCGACCGTCATCTACATACTCGCGGCCTTGAGAACCTGAACGTGAATTAAAACACCAGCATTGTGGCGTATTTACTGCAGCATGTGCCACCTAGTAGGTAATCGTCGTATTACTTTGGTGTGTATGAGTAGCCCTGCCGCCTGGCGGGAGGATTTGAAATATTTTTCTCCAAGTAGTGTGCGAAGTTGTCTACAAGATGTCTCTTGTGTATATGAATCGCCACAAGTTACCGAGTTAGAACCTATCTCATATACGCGACAAAGTTCCGATAAACATCAGTTTTGTGAAAATTGTCACGTTATATAATATTTTATTATGCATGTCGACGATCGACTCCTGATTCAATATTAACAACGGTATGATCTTGTACAAGCTTGTTTTGAAGCATTTCAGTGGATATTTTGTTATTTTTTCCACAGTCACGAATTGGTAACTGATGAAAAGTAAGTTGCAGGACCGTATATACTTCGGAGACAGAATTTTTTTTTTTTTAATTTTGAAACCTTTTAGGTCTTGTTTTATTTTCTTAGCGATGGACAAGAATTACAATCAGTCTCGAGGACAAATGTCAAATTCTGGCGACTGATCGTGGTCTGTGAAATACGTGGCGTGTTCTCAACGATTTTGAACGACATTGTACACCTACTCTGATCTTACAACCATTTCAATTTGCATCCAACCGTCGCTCGTCTGTGGCGTGGCAGAGGGGTAGGGTGGGGGCGATGTGTCACTATGACAACGCGTGACACATTTTTATATTAGCTCCGAGAATATTAAGTACGTGCAATATCAAACAGTCTTCCTCTGTAGTGTGATTTTGTACAGGGGGAGCAGATTTTTAATTTAGTTTATTTTAAACTTATTGCCAGTCAAGATTAACAGCAGACTACGTAACAGCTGTAATATTAAACTATTAATTTATCATTTTAAAAGAAATAGTGTATGATATGTTCGTACCAATTTTTATATTAGGTCTGTAATAAAAATGCAATTATTACGTGTGGGGACTGGAAACAATTTGTGTACAGTGGTTTATGATCTAGGTTATACAAAGGCACGTTGCAGGACAGGATTATTATCGTTTAGTTAAGATAATTAGGCATCCCTACTCATCTGTCTTCATCGTGCAGAGTTTATCTTTACATGCTTATAGTCGCTTATCGATTCAATAATTCTCTCAGTCTTTATAGAACAAGAAAATGTTAGTGTTCACAAGAGGACGTCCCGATAACATTAGCGAAACGTCCTAATATCCATTTCTTGAACATCTATTTTAATATCTTCCTCAAACTTTACCAAGGTTTCAAAATATCTTATCGTCAAGTTTTCAGAGTAATGTTTTGTACGTATTTATTATTCTTTTCAACGCGTATTTACTATATGAAGTCTATTGATCATACAGTATTCTAGTAATATACAGGGTGATTCTAAAAGGACTTTACAACTTTGAAAGTGTATAGGAATTTATTCAGAAGGGAACAAACACGCGATCTTTAATGAAACTCCATAAGAAAAAGTCGAGAGGTGTCAAATTGGGGTACAAAGACTCGTCTTATTTCTAAAAAAAAAACGGGGTTTTTGTTGTTAACTTTTGATTACCTTTTGATTGTGAATGAAATTACTCCTATGACACTTAAAATCATAAGGAGTTGTTTAAATATGGCAGCACTGCATAATCGTTTGCTATCAACTATGACCTTTTAGTAACATGTCTCCGCCCACTAATAAATCCTGCCATTCGCTCTGAAATACCCCAACAATGACCGTGACCCTCCTAGTTCCTTCCTACTCCTTCATAAAGCTTCCGCAATCAACAAAAGAACATCTAGACTCCATATTGTTGCCGTCATAAAGCAGGCTGCGAGCATTATTTCCGGTTACCTTACAGCAAAACAGGGTCGGATGAGGGCAGAGAGTACTTAAGGGCGCACCATGACCACGGCCCTTGGAGAGTGTTCATAAAGGAACGTGGTTGGCCATGACCAAACTTTTTCAGGCCCACAGTTCCTGGTTCTTGAAGAATTCTTAGGCCCCAGAATATAAAGTGATTTAAATTATGTAATTTTTAAATAAAAATAACCGACGAAATATATATTTAAAGTATTTTTTTAACGTGTTCTTGTTATATTTTAGGAACTGAAACATGTCGTGAAACATGAAAAATGATGGTCTAATGTAAATCGAATATTTCGATAAAGAACATCACTTGATATTTTAAATGTTTTAAATATTTTAAATGTTGAAATATTAATTATTGTAATATTTTAATATTTAATAAGAATTATCGTGATTAGACGGACAAGAATTAATATATACTTATTATATCACAATATGACGCAACTTTACCATCTTACCATCTTACAAAGAATATTGTAAAATATTTAATTCGTAAAATTAATGTGGTTTTTGCTTATGAATGTACGATCCTTTAAAAAAATCTTCAAGGATGTACAGCGTAATGAACCTTTTATTAAATGAGATGAATTTATTGATTATGCTCCATGTTTTTTGAGTTCTGTGTTTAAGACTTGAGGGTGAAGAACACCCTTAAATGCGGCAAGTAACTGACTCAATACGATATTATTATTATTATTATTAGGCTATTTCAATTCATTAAATCCTCTACCTTTTAAAGTAATATATACCTTTTAACTATCAAATACACACATAATGGACAATAGAGAAATACGCCATTCTGTCCCCCTTCTGGCCGACTCAAAGCGTTGAAAGTCACACTGTCATAATGGATTGAGATTAATGTTGGGGTCTCCTGGGACCTCCTGCTGCAGCCTCTGTTACGGAAAGCCCAGAAGAATGGGCCAATAAAACGCACCATTGATTTCAGAGAAGGGGATGGGGGGTATCGGGAAGGAGGAGGGAGGCCCTTGTTAGAGCCAGCAGCTGGCCGAGAACGACAGAATGAAGGGGTAGTCGGGGAGGTATTGTTACGAACAAGTTGCTATAGATACACAGTGACAATGCTTTGAGCGTTGTGACCCTCCACGGATTCATTGAGGTGAACCTATAGGCGGTAAGAATATTAAAATAGACCTTAACGACAGTTGTAGAGCAAGTTCGTAAGAGTGTTTTGGTGTATTAATATGATCTCTCCTCCCAAGTGGTTCCCTGTATCATTGTGATTTAAGCGAAGTCCACTCTTGTACACTTTGTTATCATTGAAAGGGTTCCATAATATTATATCATTGGAGCTCTTGGATGAGCTGTAATGCCGCTTAGTTAGACTGTAGTTTGGTTAATATTCACCAGTGCCAGTTTCTCTCTTCAGACTCTAC